TCGGCATCAGCGCGTGGGCGGCGGCGGCGGTGGCGTGTTGGTGTGTTGGTGTTTGAGTGTGTGTTTTATTATTGCTGCCGCCACCAAAGAGCATTATCATCCAAAGCAAACACTCCATTAACAGCACAAATGGAACTCAAACCCACGAGGAGCCTCTTTACGACAACATCAGTTCAACACCTTGTTTTATATCAGGGTTGTGGAACCTTTTTCCTTTCAAGGGCCATTTCATTTTTTATAACATCCTCTGTGGGCTGTAGTCAATTATTGAACACATTTTTCACAGCCGCGTCTCTAATGAGGTGGTTGGAACTGTTGTTTCTCCTCCTCTCCTCTGAAGAGGCGTCTGGTGTCAGACGCTGATGGTGATGATGATGATGATGATGATGACGATGATGGCGATGATGGTTGAAGTGGTTTCAGCCAAACATTTTGGTGAGAGAATTCCAACTGCGGACAGACTGAACTCGTAACGACAGCAATTTGTCCCTGGATCCAAACTGAGCAGTGATTATGTGGAGATTAAAGTGGAGTTGGTGGCTGTTGGTGCTGGATGTTGTTTAATCACAGGCCAGGATTGAAAACCAAAGTCTCTGTGGTGTCGCCAGCTCCACGTGGCTGATTGTTGTGACAAATGGACGGATGTTCAACCACGATGGAGACTGATCTGTCCCAGATTCACCAGAGCTGCTTTTTTCTGTTGTTGGAAAAAAAAATTGTCCCAACCCAGAGTACGAAACCTTTACAAAAACCAAAAACAAAGACTGAGCTTCAGTCGACACTTTTATTCACAACCCTGACCCTCGAACCTATTATATTTAATCTCATACATTTTATTCACAACCCTGACCCTCGAACCTGGTTCACCTGACATTTAATCTATTATATTTAATCTCATACAATATTTGATTTCATTTGAATCATTTAAATTAATTTATATCTAGTAAAAAAACAAATCATTAAAATCCTCCTGAATCTGTTGTTTGCTTCATTTATCAGAAGTTCACATGAAACGATGATTAAATCAGTTCAAACAAAGGAAAACCAACTAATTCTGTAGAATAATGTTTTACACAGAAACTCAGTTTTTAACTCAGCCTCCCACAACAAAGTGCTGAAATGGAAAATCTGACCCTAAACATCAGAACGATGGTCTTTTCCACTGGTTACATTATCTGTGACCCGCCCACAGAACGACCACTCACAGGTCGGTCTGTCCACGTCAGGAGAACAGGCTTCATCAAACTCAGTCCTTTTAATTATCTTCGTTAACAACAGTAACAGTAACAGAGGTGAAAAAAACTAAATCTCAAAAGTCAAGGATTTAACTGTTTGTTACAACGTGAAAAAACAGTCAAACTGAAGTTCTGTGGTACTTTCCAAACGACGGGGCTTTAAACATCGACGTCTTCCATCTATTATTTTCTCTTTGCTCTCAAATATAAGCTGCCACAGAGAACAGATTGATTTTTATAAGCCCTCTGTCTCAGGAGACAGAAGAAGTGCAGAAGAAAATACAGTTTTACGACTTTTTTCTTGACAAGGAAAAATAAAATATTCCTCCTACACTTGTTTCCATCTCAGCGTAATTGGTTTTAAAATATATTTGTGCAGAGGTTCCAATAAAAGCCCAGCCTCTCCTGGTGTCTGTCTCCCCCAGGTGTTCTCCCAGTCCATGTGAACACGGAGGACGCTGCACTCAGACCTGGACCGTCTTCCACTGCAACTGCTCCGACAGCGGCTACAGCGGCGCCCCCGCCCACAGATGTGAGTGCGTCTGCCAAAGGCGGGGAGTGT